TTACGTGCGAAAAAAATAAAATATAAGCACCGATTTTAAATTAAGGACGTGTCGCGGTTTTGTACCAGAGCTGGACACTTCGTCGCTGACCATCCAATAGCGCAGTTACAATCGCAACTAACGAGAAACCGTGCTTTTATTTGTGCACCGTCGTTATACCACGTTGTCAGGCCACCGCGATTCCGTGCCGCACTATCATCTCCGGCGATTAAAGTAACAAACGTGCATATACATTCTCGCTGGCCTCGGATTTATTATACCTACGTTTGTCTCTGACAATTTATACGTACATTTGAATAAAGAGTAATATAACGATTTTAATATCTCGACTGTAACAAATATTTAACGTAGATAAAAAATATCGCAATATACGAGAGGTCCGTTCATTTTTATTTGTTTTTTTATTATTAAAAAGCAAATACGATTTTAAGACGATAAACGTTAAATTAATGGATTTATATGGAATAACATTTTCTTTCTTTTTCTTTCTTTTTTATTATTTCTAAATATCGGAAATATGTTAAAGATAAGGCTACCTGGTTCAAAGAATCGGAAAACCGTAATAGAGATAAAAAGATAGTGAGATATGATGGATTTCCCCAAACGTATACGAGATTCTCTTTGAACTGATCGTGCTAACGATATAGTGGCTTGGTTTTTGGCAACCGCATGAGCGGTTAGTTTCCAGTTGACCGTGCGAAAAGGTAGTTACGAACTTTATGATTACACAGCACGAGAGGATTGCTTCATTCGTCGATTACATGCAAGCTCGCACTTCGTAGACATAATTCGCAAAGTGTTGTAACGAGAGGCAGATTGCGTGCAACGATATTGCATATCTCGTTTTCAGGATGATTTTACACGCGTGAAGAATTCATTTGAATCGTTATTCTTTGTCAAATCTTGACGTTAACTGCTTTTTTTATTTAACTTGAAATTATTGGGTAAGCTTTTAGCGGAATTACAAAGCTTATTAATTTACGTGATTGTCTCGTCGAATAAGCCAATAAAAATAATTTTTACGAGAAGGTGAAAAGTTAGTACACTTATCATTCGGAACGTTTGGGCCGTCTCCAATTTCTGGCAATTGTGGGCGTTGCGGATAAAAAGGAGGTCAACCAACGCAAAGTGTAATAGCGCGGCGCGACGAACGAGAAAGATTTCGCATTGCGCGACGTGCCTGCAATAGTCGTTAAATATTCATGACAACCGGACGGTCAGATTTGCAGGTGGCTAAATTATTTACGATTCTTTTCTGTCGTAATCGTGTATAACAACAAAGTTCTGTTACAAACAACGATAGATATGACGAGTATGAAATATTTACGCAAAATTGGTTTATTCGTTTTGCCACGTGTTCTTTTTAGATCTTCCCATGAATAAAACATCTGCCAGTTAATTACTGTAATTATCACTAAACTATCCTTTTATCAATGAAAACAAATTTTATCTTACAGCGTTACTAACTCAAAATTATATTACTAATTTGTAAAAGCAGACCTAATCAATTTTCACGAAATTATTATTGTATATTTTTTAAAATAATTTCTTGAAAAGTACTTTCGCGAACAAATTACAAAATAAAGATGACGATAAGTTCGCGTCGAACAAGCTTGTCGTTTACAAAATTCGTGAATTATGTGTCAGATCGCAAGATTGATTGTTATTTCGTTTCTTTCATTCTTTTGCTTAACTTTGAGTTAAGCAGAAGGCGCGAAAATACCCACGCCGTTAAACAAAACGGCTAGGGGTCGCGACAAATTAAAAAAACCTCGCGCGACTAATTAAAGGTTAAATTGAAATTATGATCTTTGTTCCTTCTTCGTGACGAATTACACAACGCGGCATTCATACGCCAGTCGTCTTCACGTGGCGTTGCTTGGTTGAGTATAGCCGAGACAAATTTCATCCGGTATACCCCGTTACAATCGTTGGCTGTTTGCAAAGTTGTAACCGCGTGAGTCTTCCGGAAAGCTACTACGTAACCGTCGAATTAGAGCGACGATGAAAGACCAATTCCCGGATAATCGAACTAGCTCTCGTTTCCCGTTAGCCTCCGTACGAGACGTTATATTGCTTCATCTCTCGAGTTCAACAGAAATTCCCGAGCTGTGCCAAAGCGGACAGTCGGCTTTTTCTCATCTCCCCTTTAATGTCGAAATATCTCCTTAACGTCGAAATGCCGTTCGTCAGCTTGTATTCACTCCTGCGTAACGAATGAACGTAGTCTTCATTGCGGAACTACGACCGTTTGCTATCTCAATAAATAATTTTATCAATTAATTGAAACTATGAATACTACATAATTATTTTCAACATTTAGACAATGATATATTAATTAACATATTCGCGAATACAAATTGAATGTGGATGTTTGTATTACAAATCTAACGCAAACGGTCATGCCTTTCGCCGTTGGTTTAGTATGCCTTCTATATCCTCCGTTTTCACGTACCAGCCGAATGTGCAGCGAGCTATTTAAACTTTCGGTCAACGGAGGAGTAGTTAAAGTTTGAGAAATTCGGGTAACGCGTGTGTACTTTAATTAACACGCATACGTAGGAAGTTCCTTGGTTATTAAGCCCTGTCGTCTGGAAATTGGATGTACAAATCCTGCAATGCTCATCCCGCGACATTATATATTCACATTTTGTACTCGCATATATTCATATAAATTCTTGATTTGTCGTGAAATATAATCGCGCAGAAATATGTACATTCAGCGGAGCTAACATTTAATAATAAATGGGCTCCAATTATATTATAATCTTTTTTCCAGATATATTTGTCGCATTGGTTTATATTTACATTTCATTAAATTTTATGCTTCTAAATGAAACGTACCCTTTTTGAAAAATATATATCTTTAAAAATATATTTATGATTATATGCATTGTTTAACGCTTATACATATGTATCGTTCAACGCTATGAAGTTTCTATATAATAAAATTTTGTCTAAATGACTCCAGAGGGATTGAAATGAAGAGGGATTCACTTGGTTAGATTTTGCCGAGCTGTCCTAATTATCCACAGAACGGAAAAAGCTCGGACGGGGGATGCAGCTGATTACCAGCGGGGTGCAGTAAATCCTAAAATCCACCGAATTTCGAAGCTCCGAGGTATGTCGTAATCGAGTCACTCCGCGGTCAATCTTAAACTACCGAGTTATACGAGTGACTCTGCGGCACTCGCGCTCCGGCACTTTAATCCGAGGGACTTGAGAGTGCACCTGGTAGACGACGCTGGTATATCTCTCCCCGGCTGCGAAGTTCAGGTTAGCTTGCGAGCGCGTTAGGGAGGTGCGGGGATGGTAGACCCAATTACATCTCGTTCGTGCAGAATTGGACGAATACATACAAGATGCTTAAGACGCCTTAACTATCTTGGGATTTGTACCCACATTCTAACTGTCGAGATTCGTTTAAATACCCTACGCTGGACTTTCGTCGGTTACCGAGGATTTCTATCACCCCATAAATTTATCACTGTAAACTCTAACAAACAGGTTTTACCGAAATAACCTACTGTATTTTTATAATTGTATAATTTACAATTTAGATTTTTATATAAATTTTGTTCTGGTCACTTTATATATAAGTAATATTTTCTAATTATTTGCCCGATTTTTATTTATTATCTAATTAAGCAAGAAAATTCTACGATTGTATAAGAATTAATAACGTAACAATAAGTAAAATAGTAATATAAGAATAACTTGTTATAAATAACCATCAGATCGAATTCGACCGATTGTAAGTTTAATACAAGCAATTTTTCATTTGTTGCAGAACGTTTCTACAAATACGAAGAAACTGTCAGTTTTCTATGATCGTTAACGTTCACACAACGAAAGTTGTGAGTGACGATGAAAGAAATTTTATGAAATTGAAGATTAAAAATTAACCGACGATTAATATACATCCCTGCTTCGGGTTAATGGAGCGCAACCTATAGAAGGGAACGTGATGACACGCTGCCAACCGAAGATGGAGGTTTCTTAAGCCAGGATTAGAAGGCCGTCTAAAACCCAAGCGCTCTTGTCCTCATCTCAGATCGATCAAATCATTGACGTGAGCTCCTTGAAGAGCTTTAAACTTGGCGCATTAGATTCCGCCAACGCGCGCGGAAGCTGTTTCAATCACGCGCTGCAACAAATCTGTGGAGATCTGAAACTGTGATTCTACATGACGACAGAATTGCTGGGGAAAAGGAAACATAGAGAATCACTCGATTGCCCTTAATCTCGGATGATCAAAGATTCGCCTGCTGAGAACAGATTTATTCTATGTCTTGCGAATTTCTGAGAAGCCGGTTGTCGCGGCGCAGAGGTTGCGGCATAAACGATGTGCTCGTCGATGAATTAAAGCGTATACCTGGGCTGGTCGTTCGGACAATCGATAATGCTGGGTCGTAAAACTTCGCGCGCCGCACATAGCGTGTCCGATACATAATGCAATTCTATCCAGAGGGTCGATGTCTCGAGGTGTGAAGCGAAAAGCGCTGGGTCATTCTTAGTGCCTCGAAACAGATCTCGCGAGATGCTTCATGTCAATTACGACGTTAACTCGTACATCGATCTTGTGAAGTTGACCTGGAGTGCTTGAGCGTCAGAAGAACTGGAAACAAGGGCTAATTGGAAATTAGAAACAAGTGTGTTACTCGAAATAAGTGATCATACGTGAATACACGAGAGTGCTCAATAAAGTGCGGATTTCCTTAAATTTTTTTTGCGAACGAGGTCGATTTTTGTGACGTCATTGCGAAAACGATTCGGAATAGTGTCGGATTTGGTAAATATTTGTCGATACTTGAAAATCGAGTAGTTTAACGCGTCACGAGGCATCTCATCGTGATTCAAAGCCCGTTCGATGTGAATCGAAAAAAACGGTCTTTCTATATTGACACGCCATATCAAACAGAGCTCGTGTAAAGACTCGGGGGATACGTACCAGAGTGCATAAATCGTGGTGTACGAGCAATTGAGAAGTAAATCGGAAATAATTACTTTCAATGTGAGTTTAGAAAAGTCGGGCGATCTCTTGGGTATCATTACACAGACTTGAAGAATGGCACGTAACTCGTGAATAAAAACATACAGCGGGTAAATTTCGAAGATAGTCCTAATTACTGAAGCGCACAATAAAGTTGCATGAAAACTTTCGCGAGGTTACGAAGAATTCTCTCGCGGGTATACAGAAATCTTTAAAATATATAAGAGCTAAGTGAACACGTGAATCGCGAAGTCGTTCCAAATCCGCGAAAATCAACCTCGTTTCTCGACAATTCCGGGCGAGCCCGAATGCGGGCGGTGCCGTATGTGCTTCGTTAAACTGACAATAATCGTCAACCGCGTGTCACGAACTTGTACGTGGGAGAGCGAGTGTTGGCAAATGAAATTCCGGGTGTGCACTTACGATGACGTCGTTCCGTGATTTGAGCACTCGAGCATCAAAAGCGTGAAAATTCAGTGAAACTGTTACAGTATTGCGCATTTTGACGGGAAGAAAATCGTCACGCGAAGAGAAAATGGAAGAAATCTAGGATTACAAAGGAGATTATTCATGAGTTATCTTGAGTGAAAAAAAAACAATTTCCATACACGCGCATACTTGGTACAGAGAGGAGCAGAAGAACGAACATATTGTTGGTCGACGACCATCAGAGCATGACGGTCCTTATCAAAGTATTCAGGCATTGATAGCTTGTCGATTCGTTTGAATATCTACAAGAGCAGATTCACAGAAAGAGCCACAAAGGAGAATCGCGCGACGTTAACGAAGAGTTATCTCGAAAACAACAAATTTGGCAGGGAAGTTTGTGCGTTGTTGCGAACAAATCACCAGAAAACAATAATCGACGAACAGTCGACGATTGTCGTGGGGCAAGTGATGGACTTTATCGGAGTCGACATGTGATGCACAGCGTGGCGACAAACGAGTGGTGTGCGCGATTAGTTACGAGAGAATGACGGTGATGTGTACATCGTTCGTGGATGTTCAGTGTCGGGATGTTGTAGTGAGTAACTGTCAATAAAAGAACGGCGAGTGTGACACAACGAGATCAGTTTCGTCGTCGTCGTCGTCATCGTCGTCGTTGCCGTCGTTGTTGGCGTTGCCATTGTCGTATACGAAGAAGGATAAGAAGAGAGCCGTCCGATACCGCTCACAGAAATACCCAGTATGAAGGATCATCGAGGAGGATGGCTGCGCGCCGTGCTACCCCTGATAACGTTCCTCTTGCATCAGACAGGTGAATACAATCTTATATTTAATTATTATTGTACCAACTTCTTTTCATGAAAATTTTGAGATGACTGAGTCGCGCAAGATATTTTACGTCAACTGGTGTTAATTGCGTCTCTCTCTTAGTCGTGAATTTATTTTTATAAAAGACAAATTATTTTAGCAGTTGGGAAATTTGTTATGAAAAGAACATAATAATAGTATTGTGAGAAAAAGCTCTAAAAATTTTGTCTTATCTCTTATTAAAGAAGATATGAAACATAAATAATTTGAAAACAAAGATCATTTTCAGATTTTATTTTTCGAAAATAAAGTTATAAGATAGACAGTGGAAAAGATTAAATTTGATAGTTTTAGGTAAATATTCCACGGTCATTCAGATCCTCTTTTTTGACTAAAATTTTCAATTTACGTTGACGTTCAATAATTTGGCGATTGAATGAAATAGATGATTGCATCGATAATCAGAGTTTAAAGCCGATTATTTCGAGGTGTAAGTGCACAAATACGTTTCAGGCATCTAAATAAAGTTCTATAAATGTAATCTAGCACGATGGATGAACGAATATTTTTTTGCTATTTCCTGTTGGCCGGAATAAACTTAAAGCGATGTAACGACACTCTGTCGTTCATTCGAACAAAACGCGAGTGTGTCAGTAAAATGGGCTACACCGACACAATGTATTGTTTTCCACCACGCGCCCGCGCACGGACACGATTATATGGAAATGTGTATCACGAATGAAATACTATAAGGTAGACCCAATTTTCGACGGAATATTGCGATTTAATGAGCTTGGAGTTAACTAGCTTGTACTGGATATGGGCTGTTACGAGTAGAACACGCTGGTTTCTTTTTTATTTAATTATAATGGAAGTTTGTTTCGCTAGAACGTTCGATAATTAATTTCAACATTTTAAGATATCTTGTGGTATAGTTGTTAATCCGTTGCGATCTAAAATAGTTTGCCGGACATTTATAAGAAAATTAAGAAGAAGTGACTATACCTGATATTTGTATTCTTTTTTTCTTAAGAAAGAAAAGGAACACCGTTGCTAAAAAAAAGTCATGTTATCGCGACATTTCGCGTAATAAGATGAATTTCGAACGTAATTTCCGCTCACAATTATTGAAAGGTAGAATCGCTTCTCGTGTATTCCGGTGTATTCTTAAATACCACAGACCGCTATCGCATTCCAGTTGATTTCCATGCAATGAATGGACTCATGAATAAAGCGCTTTAAACCAGATCGCTCGAGATCGTTCAGCGAAAGGCATTCTGCCAATAATTTCAGAGCGAACTCTATCGACATACCGAGTTATTCATAATTCGCTATATGTATGCTGAATTGCATTAAATCGAGTACAGTCGGTAGGAGCAACGAACAATTTGATTGTTGAGGTCGGGAATTTCAAGTTGTTCTTATATCAAACTAGGCTTCTCTGTAGCTTTGTCGAGCAATTTGCGGATTGCAATTCACTTCAACGATTCAACATTTTCTTTGTTGAAAGATCGCAAAACATTTTCTCAAATTGAGTAGCCCATTGGCAAAAATCGTTAACGCCATTTAAAATCTTTTTGATGAGAAAATTTGTATAATTTTCTTATTCAATCTATCAATATGGTTTTTTTTTTAAATTTAAGAAGTTCACTGTTTTAGTTAACAACGTGTTTAGTTAACAAAACGTGTATAATATAGTATGAGAAATACAATTTTTATTTATTAAAATAAATGCAAAGTGACTGATTTTGAATTGGAGAAAGTATTTTAGCTGATTTTGAACTGATAATGAAATATTTGTAACTTTTATTTTCTGCGCGCACGCACACACACACACACACAAAAACAGTTAATATTGATTTAAATAGAATTTTTATGATTTTGAAATATTTTTATTACCCTTTAATATAAAAAAAATTACATACTATATGTATATTTCCGCTATACCACGCTTAGTTATTTATTGGAAAAAAACAATGTCTTTTCCTCTTTTATTTCTATGTTAAATTCAAATGAAAATAAAATAATAAACATAGAGGGAAAATAAATAAAACGAGTTTTATGAAAAATAATAATAAAAGGAAAAATTATATACATATATGTAAATTATACATATATAGAAAAATTATATATATATAGTAAACCTAGATCTGTCAGAATAAGGATTTGACTTTTTTTGTAACTTGACCCACTTTCCTTTCCTGATTTTATAAGGTTTGTAACTGTTTTAAACATTTTTAAAACGTTCAATTTGTAACCAAGAAGCTAAGAAATTTAGAAATTCCAATATGTATTTTTTTTTAATTTCTCGTTATTTTGTATATTGGTTATTTAAAAATATTGGAAGATTCACTACTTAGAGTGCTCCTTAAAGAAGATATCGATCGAGTGTCGTGTCGGACATGTAGCGGAAATTCACTCGTTCGTCATAAACACGCTTCACGAGTAAACCGTATATAAATTACGTGAAATTTTGCCATGTCCAGGAATGATGTATAATATGAGGCCATAATGTTACATATATACAGACACATTGCCGATGCAAGGAAATTCTATTTACAGCATTTTCCCGTATCGTGAAATTGCATTTCAAACAGAAATCCGTTAGAAATTAAGAGTAGTTTACTTAGTTCTATTATTGAAAACGTACAAAGATTAAAATCATGTTTTTAATAATGTGTGTTTTAGGACGGTTTATTTAGGATTATATTTTACTTAAGCTTAATTAACATAGATAGAACCAGTTAATTTATTACAAGTTCCATGTAGATGAACTGATTAAACTAAATATTGAGATAAGTTGTCGAGCTTGATAGAAGTACGTATATAACTTTATGCATATATTTGCATGTAAGTAAAAAACTTTGATATAATTTTGCGACACCGTTAGACCTCGAAAAACTACAAACTGAATTAGACATGCTCGGTAATTAACGCGTCTAGGTTCTGCCGGCTGTTAGCTTTGGGAAAATAAACATTGCCTGAATTAGCAGAACAAATTTTCCTCGTTTCCCAATGGCGTTTCCTTGCTCTTCCGGATGACTTTTATCGTCTGCCACCTCTGTCCCGAGGATCGAGAAATGAGGTGTCCGGAAATTTCATCGAGGGACGTGAACTTTCTTACGAACGTCACGGAAAATTGAATTTTTAAGCGACGGGTTATTTGCGAGTAGCCGACTGAGATTTTGACTTCGTTTATTGACTTGTCCGTGTACATTTTCTGATTTTGTCCCGATTTCTGTTACCATTGAACAAAGGCTAATTACAACATTATAAATGTAACATTATAACGAGCAAATTCGAACGATTCTTCATTTACACATTATTGCGACTGTGCACTCTAAATCCATTATTTATTCGCCAAATCACTGTTATACTCATACATGTATCGCCAATAGAAACTGCATAAATTACGGCTTTTTGTAATACCGTGTTTCGAAAATATCGATGAAATCAGAATTTATTTGAAAGAGATATTTTCATTGAAGCGGTAAAAGAGGTAATATTTATCGCGCTGGAATGAAAGGGTCGATAATTCATTGTACAACGCGATAGACGTGGAAATACAAATTGCTTTTTATATCGACATCGAATTTGGTCTATAGAAGATTATTTTCATCCCGCAATTCTATAATTTACTTTGATCACTGGCTGCTACTGAAAGAGACAGGATGTGCGGGCAAAGAAAATCGATTTCATGAGTAAATTCATTCGAATTTCTTAATGCATCGATCGCGATACAATTGTGTGCTCAATGCGCACAATATGTAAATGCAATCCGGATATTGATAGTCTGATGTTTCTCTCGACAAGCATTGTACGAGAATTATATGTAGATATCGAGCGGACGTGTAACACGTTTGCGGAATGCGGCTGATTGTAAGTCGAGAAGCCAATTTGCCAAACTCGAGTTCGTCGCGGGCGGGCGGAGAAGATACCGCAAGAACGTTGCGACGTCCCATTGAAGTTGTAGCGCGAAGAGAATCGATGTTATTATACATACATATACCTCTATAGCAGCACCTATATATCTACAGAAATGACGATATATCTTCGCACAGCGTGCCTTTAAACGCCATAATTAATTGCAAACATGTTATTAAACTCGACACTCGGCATAACTTTTCCTACACACACATCTGATGAATATATTGTTTCTCAAAACTACACTAAATACACTGTGTAATCCATATAAGATATACAGAAAAGTTTGGTCATAAAGTTTTGCGCTTGTCAAATCATTAATAACAAATATTTATTTAAAGAAGCAAACTCTAGTTTTATCTTAATAAATATAAAAAATAACTATATTCAAAAAATTACTCAAAAATTAAAAATTGAAATTATATATAGACTACGAGTAATATCGATACAGGATTATAATGGAATGGAAGCTACCTGAAACGAATAGAAAAGTGATTTGGAATTTTGTATATCATTGTATAACTAAATTCTTTTATTAACTGACTCTGCGTTGCGAATTTTATTATTAATTATACCTACTGTTTTACACTGAGGATGACCTTATGAAGGTTGAAACGTATGTCTGTTGTATATTCTTAACTATGTTTTGAATATTAAAATTTAATTTAGCACTCGACATCCAGCGTTTACTCGTAGCCTATATATAATTTCAATAAAAAATAACAATTAACATTCAAAATGACCCTTTTTAGCTTTGATGCAAGCTTTAAGTTCCTTTGGCATCAACGATGGCTGCGTATCTTTCCACGGATAAATTCTCTCAAGCAGTCATTAAAGAGGTTTTTAGTTAGTTTACTAATGTATTTAATTCGATGTAAATCTTTTGATGCTTTTGGTATTTAATAAGATGATGTAATTAACACTTCAAAGTTTGTTTTTTTAAATACACATTATTATTATTACCCAGGTAGCGCGCTGACATTATTTGTCATTATTTTGATGACAAATAATAACATTAATTTTCTATCTGAATAATGATTTAATAAACGTAAAAAAGCCAAACTTTTTTCAACACACATG